TCAGTGTAGGAACGTGTAAGCCTCGTTTGGAGAAACTGAGCAGTAGTATCATGTTTGTGTGTGTCATGGGGCCGATGATTCCATGGGATAGTGAGTTATTTTAAAGTAAAGGAATTACGTTTTCCAAATTGGTATCCATGGAAGAGTTATGCAAACACAAGGAAGAGGTTCTTTTGGGAGACAGAAGGCGTTGGTTAGAATGTCCTAGTTAAAAATGTCAGATAAGAAGGTTTATCTGTCAGTCACAATTATACAAGTGTTTTCTGAAATGTATAATATTAATTTAACAAACATCTTAATGATATTGAACTTTGAAATTTTACTCTTAGAATTTTAAGATAAAGGTTTTCCTAAGATAAGAATAAGGTATAGGGCTGGACAAATGGCTCAAAAGTTAAGAACACTGGCTGTCCTTCTAGAGGATCCAGGTTCTGTTCCCAGCACCCACATGGTAGCTAACAATAGTCTGTAACTCTAGTTCCAAGACATCCAAAGTCCTCTTCTGGCCTTTGTAGGCACCAAGAGTGCATGTAGCACACAGAGATACCTGCAGGCAAAACACGCACACATAAAATAAAAATAAGTAAGCCTCAGGAAAAAAAAAATTATGTCCGTGGAATCTACTATTTCTTTGAAGTCTCCCAACCAATAAAAAATATATTATTCAGTATATTCTTCTTGAATATAGCTTTTAAAAGCCAGGTTCAATCAGAGTTTCTTCAACAAAAATATAATGGTCAATGAATATAAAACTATAGGGGAAATTCTGATTGCTCATATACGTTAAAAATATAATTAAAGTTCAATAAGATGATAGCCTTTCTATTAGGAATTAGATTTAGCAGGAGGAAGCAGCATCAGATTAGAGCACAGATTATACAGTGGCATCCTCTTATAAACAGACATGCCCAAGCAGACACAACATGGTGTGATCATCCTTGAGCTTAGACTGCTTGAGTCCAGTCCCCACGACCGTCCCTCACCATCTTCCTGTGTGCCGTGTATACGGAAGGATCTCACTTGAGTGTCTGCCAGACCACAGGCCTGAAGTGTGTGGCCGTCAGTGGCCATGTGAAGCTGATGAGAGAGAGGCATGAGCTCATTCAGTGTCCATCACCTTCCTTCATGGTAGGAGACATTAGTGATGAAACATGAAGGCATGGGGAAGTGGTCACATACCTGCCGAACTGCTGTGGTAGGATGCAGACCTGGCTTGTGGCTGTGAAGCCCCTGCTCGCAGCCGTTACACCACACCCCACTTCCAACATCTGGAAAGATTTGACTTAGAGTTTCCAGAAAGTGAATCAGGTGCCAGACTATTGGCCTGTAAGCCTTTGTGCTCTCCTTTCCCCCTCTTTTGCATGCATATATTCTGTATGTATAATATATGCTTCAATATTTTCTAATAATTTAACATATATACGTTTACCACAAATTTGTTATGTTGTTACTTTATTCTAAGCAACTGTGCTATATAGACTGAAAACTATTTGTTGATATCCCCCAGCCGATTAGAAGTGGAGTCTCCCTAAATATAGCTTTTAAATATTAGGCTCAATCAGTTTCTTCAAAAAAAAAAAACCCAAACAAACAAACAAAAACAAGACGATGGTCAATTCTTGGCAATAGTTTCTGGCTATAGTGCAGTTGCTTGGAATACAGTAGTAGCTGGGACAAATGTCTTTTGTTCATGATGAGGATGACCTCGGAGAAGAGAGTATCTCTCTGTGCCCTTTGGTAGAATGTGATGCCGAGGGCCTTGTGAGGCCTCTGATGCCCGTGGGTGGTAATACCGTTTAATAATGTTGACTGTCACTGGCCTTGCCCTGCAGTCTCTGAGTCTCTGAACTCTCAGGAACCCAGAGCAGACCTCAGGTCTAACCCCTACACCCTGGCTGCACCCTCCCTTGAACTCACAGAGATCCCCCTGCCTCTGCCTCCAGAGTGCTGGGATTAAAGGCGTGCGCCACCACCAAATGTGGCTGCAGATCTGGGGGCTCTTAATGATAGATGTTATTATGTGTAAACTTAAAGCAATATGCGCTAATTATTTTGGCTCATCATACAAACTCCTATAGGTTTTATTGATTTCTTATATTTACATGTAATTTACATGTATTTACATATATAATCATAACTAGATCTGTAATTTTTTTAAATTAAAGTTGTCATGTAGCTATAGCATGTAACAGTGAACTCATTCAAGTGTAGTAAGTCTTTAAAAAAGAAAAACGCTAAACGTTTGGATAATTAGCTCTTGGAGGGTGAGTCTCTGTGTTTTGGCTAGGAAAATGGGGATAAGAGTTTGTTAAGGACTTGGGAGTGATTTAAAATTTGAATTCATCGTGACTTTGACTGGATTTGGAAACAGCACAATCAAACCAGTGAGTCAGACATTTACCCGAGACCAAGCGTCTGTGTCCGTGAAGCGTAGCTTTCCTCTGGAGGTAGTTCATGCTCTTCACATTCTCTTTCAATAATTACGCGGGGGTCGTTCTCCCGCCAGGGGAAGCCCTATTGGGTTACCTTATCAGAAGGCTCGTAGCCCTTTGCCTGGTTCAGACTTAAGGCCGTGTACTTTAACGTTTAATTAATACAATGATTGGAAAATGCCTGCCTTCAGAGGAGGTTAAAGCAGTTTGTTTGCCTTGAACTTTCTGCAGGAAAGGTGGCGTGGCGACCAAATGAAATTACGTTCAAAGACGAAGTAAGACATGAAAGAAATTTGAAGTAAACTTTTGGCTTATTTGGTAATTCCTAGGAAAACTGAACAAAAGTTTGGTTCTTTAGAAGAAGAAAAAAAAATGCTGTATATATAGAAATATGATCCTAAGATAGGCCAGTCACCTGACTTCCTCCAAGAAACTCTGGAAACACACAAAGCTTTCGGACATGGACTAATAATGGCCAGTATCCACTTACATTTTGATGTGCTGTTTTATGTCCACAATAATTTTAAGTCACATTGTGGAAGGTATTAATTTAGAGGAAAACCCCACTTTCTTCCACTTTTTGATTGATTTTCTTTAGACTGTTTATGTGTCTCTCTGTTTCCCAGCCACTGCCGTAACCATCTAAATTCTCTTAGTCTCTATATTTTTTACTTACTCCTTATACTAAATTCTTTCAGTATAAGTTGTATAGCAAACTACAAATGCTACATTAATGGTAAAAAGTAGTTCTTTGGAGAAGTTTTTCCTGGGGATAGAGAGATGACTCAGGGGTTAATAACACCTATTTTTGCAGAGGTCCTTTATTCTTTTTCCAGCAGCTGACTGCTTGGAACTTTGCCTTTGACTTCTGTGTGTATCTGAGCTCACAGCCACATACCCACCTACATATACCCAATTAAAGACAATGAAAATAAATCTTAAAAGAGTGTTTTTCCTGCAGGTAAATAGTTCTGATTTCCAGCATGTAACCACCCCAAATAATGCTTGTTGAATTTACCTTTAATGGATTTTTGGTGGAGATGGCTGTCTTGGAACATTCTTTGTAGATCAGGGCAGCCTTGAACTTACAGTGATCTCCGCCTGAGCTGCTATACCGAACTTCTTTTGAAGGTTTTTGCAAAGTTATCTCTAATATTTGAAGTCATAAGTCAGGCTTACTAAGGCTGCATGGAAATTCGTTTTCAAATACACTCTCAAGGTGACACCTGCAAGCCAACACTTGTAACAGCAACAGCTGAGTTGTTCCAGTCTTGGGTGCTTGCTTCAAATAAAACTGTTGTGGGCAACAAAGTACAGTTGTGTGGGGAACTGAACCCAGGTCTGCGGGGAGAGCGCCAGTGCTCTTAACTGCAGAGCCATCTCTCTCACAGAGCATAGGTAAGACGGTGGTCCACACCCCTGTCCAGATGACCGATCCCATGACTTGACTTGAGCATCTGTGAGGCAGTCTCTCCCTTTACTCTTTCAAGGTTATTCTTTAAAGCTTTAGTCATCTCTGCACTAGATAGATAAATAGATGATAGATAGATAGATAGATAGATAGATAGATAGATAGATAGATAGATGGATTGATGGCTGGCTGGATGGATGGATAGATAGATGGATGATAGATAGATAGATGGATGGATAGATAGATAGATAGATAGATAGATAGATAGATGGATTGATGGCTGGCTGGATGGATGGATAGATAGATGGATGATAGATAGATGGATGGATAGATAGATAGATAGATAGATAGATGGATTGATGGCTGGATGGATGGATGGATAGATAGATGGATGATAGATAGATGGATGGATGGATGGATGGATAGATAGATGGATGATAGATAGATGGATGGATAGATAGATAGATAGATAACCTGCAGCAGGAAAGAATCTTATCTAATGTCCTGTCAAGGTGATGTGATTTTTCTGGGGAGTGTTAAAATATCCATTTCCAAAAGAAGATACAAACGAGGAGATAATGGGTATGTAGAGAGCACGTCCACAGACGTCTCCAGCATTTTTCAGCACGGACTGTCACGTGATCAGTAGGCACTCTGGAGCTAAGCTGTATCCCTGGCGCACGCCCGGTGGAGAATGAGAAGGTGGCTAGCTCGGCAGGCAACATTGCCCTTGCTGTTCTCCCCGTAACTCTGAACAACAGTTCTCTTAGCCACCAACTGTAGACTAGAGCGGTAGGGGTTTTGTCACTAACGTTGTTTATGGAGAGTGATCACAAGGCGTAGCGATGTCTGGGACTTTAGAATTGGATTGACTGGTTGTTTTTTTTTTTGCCTTGGCTAGTCTAGGAAATGCTTACTTTTTTTGTTTTTGTTTTTTTTTCACAAGATCTTAATTTTCATATCTTTTATGAAAAATATCTATTAATATAATGATTAAGTTAAACCTAGCTCATTCTTTCTTTGGAGTTTTTCTGACTTTTGTTGAAAATATTAGTATCATAAATGTAGCAGATACATAGCAATTCGGTACTCTATATATTAGCAATAAATTATAACCATGAAAATAATGGTGAATTTTTGTTTGTCTCTCTTAACAGTGGAAAGAGTGGAGCGAGAGAACCTTTCAGACTATTGTGTTCTGGGCCAGCGTCCAATGCATTTACCAAATATGAACCAGCTGGCATCCCTGGGGAAAACCAACGAACAGTCTCCTCATAGCCAAATCCACCACAGCACTCCCATACGAAACCAAGTGCCCGCCTTGCAGCCCATCATGAGCCCCGGGCTCCTCTCACCCCAGCTCAGTCCGCAGCTCGTCAGGCAGCAGATAGCCATGGCCCATCTGATCAACCAACAGATCGCCGTCAGCCGGCTCCTGGCTCACCAGCACCCTCAAGCCATCAACCAGCAGTTCCTGAACCATCCCCCCATCCCCAGAGCAGTGAAGCCAGAGCCGACTAACTCCTCTGTGGAGGTCTCTCCCGATATCTACCAGCAAGTCAGAGACGAGCTGAAGAGGGCCAGCGTGTCCCAGGCTGTCTTCGCCAGGGTGGCATTCAACCGCACACAGGTACAGTTAACACCACTCTTCCTAGGGACTAAGAGTCAGTGTAAAGAGCTGGGCAGTGGTGGCGCACGCCTTTAATCCCAGCACCCGGGAGGCAGAGGCAGGATCTCTGAGTCTGAGGCCAGCCTGGTCTACAAGAGCTAGTTTCAGGACAGGCTCCAAAGTTACAGAGAAACCCTGTCTTAAAAACAAAACAAAGAGGGTAAGGAAGAAATATGACATGTCTTCACCTCTTAATAATGTCTTCAGAATGTTTTATGGAGATGAGGAGTTTTGAACTTTAAAGCCACAGGTCTTCTGTGGGAATGTGCCATGACTCAAGATGCAACCTTTGATCCTAGGAAGTCTTTGGTTTTTCCTCTCTTATTACAGCAGGTGGCTAGGATGGCCAGTTAGGAGACTGCTTTGAGGGACTGGCAGGAGTGTGGGGGAAGAGCCCAATAAGACCCACAGCAGGAGAGAGGAGGGGAGCATCAAGAAGCATGATGGGAGTAGAATTGTAGCTAGGGTGTTAGCGGGCAGATCCAGGGGGATGCAGTAACAGTGGTGGCGGCAGCGGTGGGGCTTGATCCCGGTGACTCCCAGCAAAGGTATAGTTATGAGAAACAGCCCGGGAGACGCTGCAGGGGCGGCTGAGAAAGGCCACGGTGATTGTTTTTACTTTCGAAAGACTGGCAGATTTCTTAGGAAGACTGGCAGTGAACATCGAAACTGTAAGTTTGGCACTGAAAACAGTGGGTAGGGATAGACCAAGAGATTGGAAGTGTTACAGAGCCCGGGATTTAAGTTAGAGGAGGAAGGGGAACGGATGTGATGGCTTGACCCAAGCCATCATGGTGTCAGGCTTCCCAAGGAGTTGTGCTGTTTCGGGAGGTCAGGGGAATACTAGGAGGTGTCTTGTTGGAGGAAGTACGTCACTGTGGGTGGAGTTTGAGGGTTGATAGCTTCCTGTTTTCTTTCTCTGCTTACCTGCGTGTCCCTGAAAATGTAAATCTTCCGGTTCCTGTCAGATCCCACATCTTTCCTGCCCTGTAGGCTTATAAACCATTTAGCTTCTCCCTAATTTGCGTTTGTTCCGAGTTTGATCACAGAACTAGAAAAGTAGCTAATGCAGGTAGTAACCAGGCGAAGGGAGGAAATGGCAGCAGGGTCCTTCAGAGGCGCTGGAGTCACAGAGAGGGAGGTGATCACAAGAGGGAAGAAAGGTGAGAACAAGAGTTCTCAACCTGTGGGGCATGACCCCCTGGGGTCCCATGTCAGGTCTCCCGCATATCGGATGTTTACATTACAATCCATACCAGCAGCAAAATTGCAGTTAAGAAGTAGCAATCCTTGTTTGGTTGGGGGTCACCACACATGAAGAAGTGTATCCAAGGGAAGCAGCCTTAGGAAGGTTGGGAACCACTGCTCTAAAGACTCACATGTGGGGGGAAAGTCAAGATGTAGGGAGAAAGAGAAGCTTGACCTTATGTCCGAGGATTTGGCCTGATGTCGGTTGGTGGGGAGCCCTCCGCCTCCTATTTCTGAGAATCGGTTTCTCGCAGTGGTGAGGACAGGAGCGGCGCTCCGGGGTTAAGGTGCCACTCAGTGCCAGGGTGCAGAAGCAGGTTGCTTTTTCAAAAGCAAGCATTAAAAAGGCAGCCAGGAGCACAGGAACAGCTTGATGGGAGTCAACTTAAGACACAAGGTGGTTTTTAGCCTCAGATCGAATTAAGGAACATGAACCAGAAATGGAGTCGTTGATTGTGGTTAAACAGTTGCTGGCTGGGAGCAAAGACGAGGCCCTGGGGCTGTTGGGGTTCCATATTCATGTGTTTGTTATGCAGAAGGACAGAGGTGGAATCTCATGCTCCCTTGGTGCACAGCTACCTTGTACATTCTACTCATGGTACAGCCTGTTCCCATCACTTGGAAAATGCATTTGGGGGAGACCCACATATGTTTTATCCATCTTCTTGTGACTTAAAAGACTCAGGCCGCACTTTCGTGTTCATGGTTACCTAGGCTGGGGTCGTATAAGGCTCCGGTCCCTTGGAGAAAAATCTTGTTGCCCATCACTGAAAATACGAAGTGGAGGGATACGTCTATCTTCTGCGGTTCTTTATTCTGTCATCTGTGCTCATGAATCGACATTTCATGCCCAGCCAGCATTTGATTGCCTAGTTATGTGCACAGCTCTTTTTGGCTAAGGATAAAATCGAGAGCGTAGCTGTACCGCTTTGGATTTTCGCAGCGGAATGCAGTCTACATTCTGCCCAAATAGCGCGAAGCGTGGGAGAAGACTCCCAGAGAGTCAAGACCACAGACAGATGTAGTGAGAGGGTCTGCTGTGTCAAGGCACCGGATTCCTGGAGCTCCGCCTCCTCCTGAGGAATCCTCCACATCTCTTTGTCAGGATTCAAGGTTTTTCCTTGGCGTTGCCACCTTCGAAGGGCCGGGCTTTATAAAGGTCTAATTGAAGCACAGAACACGTTTTATTATTTTCTCCTCCGTGCCATTAAATTTGTAAGAGGGCTACACCCAGAAAGAAACATTCCCTTTCAGTCAGCACGAGCTTTGAGTTCACGGGCCAGCCTTGAGGATATCAAATGGAAACCACATAGGGACGCAGGCGTGTTTCCTCTTTAAATCCTGCTTTTAATTTGGGAAAGCTTTTCATCCCTCTGGGATCATAACCTGTTGTATATAAGCCCAGCCTAATCAGGGTAGATGGTATTGACAGAGTGTGAACTCGCGCGGGAGGTCAGCAGGCAGATTGTTTCTGCTCCACGTCCTGCGGTCCCACTAGCAGCACAAATGGGCAGCTGGTTTCGCCAGCTGTATTGTTAAATGGGAGACACGGTGTAGTCTGCCCCATGAAACCAGCCATGGGTTTTCCAAATGGGGAGCCTTTTCTGAGTGGAACCAGACACTTCTGGGTGCTAGAGTAGCTCGCCAGGTAAAATTCATGGCAAAAGTGGCTGATGGCATAGTAACCCTTTTCCAGAAGGCTGGTTAACTTCTTGACTGTACAGAGCCAGAACCATTCCTGTTGACAGGCATCTGCAGACATCATCCGTGGCTGCTCTCTTGATGGGTAGCATCTTCTCACGTGCCTGAGTGTTTTACAGAACTCACTGGCTTCTCCAGGACTCATTCTGTTATTCTCTCTAATAAAAAGGGCCGTGTCACATGACAGCTTGTGTCCCTGGATGTCTGTTTGAAGGTTTAGCAAAAAGTCTTAACTAGTTTGTGTGTGTGTGGGTGTGCAGAAACCAAAATAGCTTGCAATCACTCAGCAGTCCATCAAGACTGTAAACATGGAAACCTTGTCTGCCTGCTTCCAAGACTTCCAGATGAAAACCTCACGCCGATGGTAGATGGTATTGGAGAACTATATGTTATTGAAGGAAACTTGCTCATTACCTTAGATGCTGATGCATTTGCTGTTTGATTAGGCAAAATGACATCATTAGGGATTATATTTCCAAGAAGTTTTTAAATTTATTTTTTTAAGTTACTACATAGTAATAGATGTTATCATGGAATTTTCATCCACAAATGCTGTTATGATACCATATAGTCTGTTCTCACTGTTGCCTTCCCCTGCTGTCTTCCTGTGTGCCTTGCCCACTCCCACCCCTACAGGCTTTCAATACACTTTAGTTTTGCTACATAGGCCTTTCAGAGTCATTTATGCATCTGTCTGGTAACAACTTGCTTTGCTTCTAGCTTGGGAACTAGATAACCCCTTTGTAGTTTTCTTTTTACTGTCTTTTGTTATTATTTGTACGTTTTTCTTCTCGTTCACCAACAAAACGTCTGCCATTTAAGCTAAGAGTAAGCAAGTTGAGTTCATCGTCCGCACAAGGGACTTATGACGTATTTATGTCAGTATTTATGTATTTATGTATGACGCACTTATGGCGTTAGTGCCGGGACGTGAACTCTCCAGCATGGCATGAGGCTGCTAGAGTTCTGAACGCAGGGCACGCAGCAGCGCCGCATCTGTGCAAGCCTTTTGGAAGAAGCGGTTAGTCCTGCTTGGCGTGCTGTTTTGTAGCCAAAGGGACCGCAGGAGAACCCTGAGCTGGCAGCCGTAACTGTGTGCTTCCCTGCCCGCCTTAAGCACCTTCTCTTGCTGCCTCTGTAGGACCGCAGAGGCAGGCAAACACCCTTGCTTAGTTTGTGTTTTCCCCAGGCCTGTACTTCCGGTGCGGCTCTTCATTCGCAGGACTGTCCTCAGGCCCCTCGATGTTGGCAAAGAGCTGGAAGCGCTTAGCGAGCGTGTGACAGGAACCACGGGCGACAGCCCACTGCTTCCCTCCTCGTCGGGGAGATCTCTCTGGCACTCCAGAGCTCTCTGTATAATCCGCTCCAACGTGGCTTGAGTTTTGTCTTCCCTCGCTGTCTCCTACCACTCTCCCTTGGAAGCGTTTTACCCCTAAAGCTCTCTAGAATCTTTGTCTCGGGGTTGTGGTCCATGCCTTTTGGTCCTTGCCATGCGAGCAGAGGCTTGAGTAGAGCATAGCATCAGAATGGTGCCCGTCCATCCCGCAAAGCAACCGCCATGTGCCGTATGAGGCTGGCATGGCTGTGTCCTCGCTTGGGTGTTCGAACACGTCATCGTCGTCATTTGAAATACGAAGCCTGGAAGGTCCTCAGTTCGCTGAATGGAGAATAGCGTTATTGAGAATGACTTCGGGATATTGAACCAGGCGTTGTGGGGTCGCCGAGATTAGGAATGAGAGACCCTGAATATGAGCAGGAATGAGATCCGGGAGAGAAATGGGATTTGAAACCTTAGGGGTTAGTCCTACCACTGTTGCCCAGGATGGGAAGCAGCCTCTCTAGTCTGAGCTGTGACCCACATCAAGTGGCTTTGTCCCTTGGCCCTGCCCCTCTCTAGGGCTCTGTCACAGGTGCAGACGGTGCCTGTGAAATAGTCATTTCTGTCCGGGTCTGAGTTCTGCGCCTGTGTCTTCTCCTGCGTCTGGAACCTGAACTCATCCTAGGTTGGCCCC